CTTTAAAAAGGTCTTGTGCAGCAGATTTGCCTAATGCAATACATCATTTGCTTTCCAATGCCTAGACCCAGGCAATTCTTGCCACATTTCTGACTGGGTCTTTCTTGTGAACGGCAAGCTTATGAGTGTCAGTATACCTACCCTCTCTGAAGGGTTGTCTGTCCAGTCATTGGGGCTGACTCAGAGGTCTGAGTCCCCAGGCAGACAGTCTGAAGCACCTCAATGTATAAATGTCTCAGTGGTATCTGAGGAGGTCTGCTGAGCATCCTAAAGTCCACTGTATCACCATAGCATGCTCTGCACTGGTGGGGAAGAAGGACACCAAAAGGGGTCCTATAATGTGAGATGATGAGGGGATTAAGGAGGGACAGGAGATTCACGATTCACGGGGAGGCAGAAACAGAGGCAGAGTCACAAACACACTTGTGGGAAACAAAATTTGTTTGAGAATGTTCATAGTTTTATTCACAGTAACCCAGCTGGGAGCCCTGGGGTGGCACCGGATAAGAACTGGTCTGCTAACACAGAGTCAGCAACTCCAACCACCAACTGCTCTGGGAAACCCTATACAGGGTGGCTATGAGTCAGAACTGACTCGAGGGTACTTAACTAAACCAAACTGGAAAGAGCTCTGATGGTCCAGTGGTTGAGCACTCAGCTACTAAAGGAAAGGATGGCATTTGGGGACATAGATGCTACTGTACAGATCAGCTATCACGTCAGTTTCAACTCATAGATGCTGGGAGTCACTGAAACAGAGAAGCAAGTCATGGCAGGGGACAAAGAGGAAGAGATGAACAAAAATAAAAAAGCCACAAACTCAAGAAAAAAGCAGTCAATTATTATGACAAAGAGGAGGAGGGAATATGGCTTCAAGGGTCTGGAATGGAACTTACAAGGAGTGTGTATTGTTTTTCTATCTGTACCTCTATGCCCATGCCCTGGTGGCACAGTGGGTTAAGCATTGGACTGCTAACCAAATGGTCAGCAGTTCAAACCCATCATCAGTCACTCCATGGGAGAAAGAGGTGGCTGTCTGCTTACATAAAGATTTAAAGCCTCAGAAACCTTATACAACAGTCTACATTGTCCAGTGGGGTCACTGCATGGTGGAATTAACTTGATGGCTCTCGGTTTAGGTTTTTGTAGTGTCTCTAGGACTTATTTTAAGAGTCCTGGTGTGACATTGCGGGATAATTTGCTGGACTCTAAGGTTAGTTTAAACCACAAGGTCTGTAGTTCAAATCCACCAGTCGCTCCTTGGAAACTTTATACAAGGTCAACTATGGGTCAAGTTCAACAGCACTTACCAATAGCAGCAATGGGTCTCATTTAGTCCCTCTGTGATCATATGTCTCCATCTCTCTGGGTTTAAATTCTGATACTCTCTCCCTCGCATCTCAGGAGGACTCTGGGGACCCCTGGTCTGCAACGGGACTCTGCAGGACCTTGTATCTTTTGCACAAGTCCCATGTGGTTATTTCCAAGTGCCAGATTTCTAAACCAATCTCAGCCAGTTCACTGACTGAATTACAGAAAATCATCCAGGCCAGTTAGCCACAGGGATAGGGACCCAAGAAACTGAATCCCAGGTCAATCCCGTTGGAGGAATTCAGGAATCTGGGCCCCCACCATCTCTAGCCTCAGACTCAGGAGTCCAGCCCTTCCTCCTTGTGACTCAGGAGTTCAATCCCCCAGCCCCCTTCTCCCTCAGACCCGGGAGTCCAGAACCCCACCCCCCTCGTCTGTCAGACCCAGGAATCCAGGGCCCCAGCCTCCTCTTCCCTCAGACCCAGGAATCCAGGGCCCCAGCCTCCTCCTCCCTCAGACCCAGAGGTCCTGGGCCCCAGCCCCCCCCTCTCTCAGACCCAGAGGTCCTCACCCCCAGCCCTCCTCCCTCAGAACCCCAGCCCT